AGTCGCTAATTGGCAGCCTGTAAATTAATTAAGAAACTGGATGTCTTCGGTAGGTTTTAATTAATAACTTTATGCAAACATATCTGCCTGACTAATCCGCCGTAAGATAAGATTTTATTGTATCCATAACACCAGTATACAAATTATGTGTTACAACAAATATTACAGAATCAATTATTTGGTACTGAAATACACACTTACAAGATACATTTTCGTATTAGTTCTACGCGTCCCCTGTTTAGAGCCGAGTAGACCACAAGGTCTGTCATTGAGTCAACTGGCATGGTTTCAAATCCCCGGTTGTACGTGACTAGAATCCCGGGCCCCTAACCGTAACGTGATGAAAAGATTATTTCATATCCTTTCGAATGGCACGCATGTGTAACACACAATGAAACGGTCTATAATACAAGAATAATTAAATAATATCTGATCACCTACGAAATCTACATACAAGTCTACAGAAGCCTAGACCGGTCACCGACTGGAACTTCACAGAGAAGGTTGGGGGATAGCTCAGTCTCCGCCCTCGCGCCGCTAGATAGATTACCGTGTACCAATGGTAAAATGTTTATTGGATATCAGAAGCCTATCTTTTCCCGGTAAGATCACAGCATCAACGTTGATTTAAATTGACAAATAATTTGTGTTTTCAATGTGGAAGACTTTGGTTGATATTGAGTTAGAGACTTAGCTACGTTAAACAAGTCAGTGGTAAGTGTCTGGTGAAATCTGTTTAAACTAACCAATTCCAAGCTGAGAGAGTATTATCTACTTGTGGATAAAACGGTTGTTGATACATGTGTTAAATTATTAAGCCCGACAAACACGTACTTAAAAAATATAACAAATATCGAATGCAGTCAATTAGTTCGACCAAGGCAAAACTGTTGTTGGTACATGATACGTGTATTTAATTTATAAGATTGACAAACACGCTCTTAAAACATATAATGAATATCGAATGCAGTCAATTAGTTCAACCAAGGCAAATGGGGGAGGGGAGGATAACAAAAAACATTTTACCAACCGGCGAAGACATTCAAAGAATTAACGTCTCCTTAAAACCTTTTCACGAATCTTGTCTTTTGTTACTGACATATCTACGACCATTTATCATATTGGAATAAAAAATATTCATATATCAGAAAATAATAGTTATTGATAACATTGATACTCCACGCTAACCATTAAATATGGGTGAGGTATTTTTATATAGAAATCACCTTTACACAACAATAAGAAACTCTTACAAACACTTGTTCTATTGGCGTAGCTCGGTTGAGAAATGTTAGTCTGTGGCAATAAACTATGTGAAAGCGAACGTTAAACCCGAATCATGTTATAGTCGTCGTTAGTATTATAAAACTACGACGCAGTTGGTTCAGTAAGAATAACTGGATTACTATTTAAACGCGCCGTACTTCATAGACTTACATCTGACACTAGAAGTGTTTACAGAAATAATGAAATATTTGTGACACTTTTTTTGGTGAAATTCATTTGAAATTTTGAAGCCGTGGCTTCGGTTTTGACACAAAAAATAAGATTTTATTTTGATCTTTTTTGGATTAGACAGAATCGTGGATTATTTACAGAAATCGTGAAATTAATACGAAAAGTTGTTATAGAAAATGGATTAAACAATTTCCAGTAGTTGCTTACAATTAGGAAACGCTTTCTCTTATTCTGCTAAAAGTTGTTCAACAGAAAATATTTAAAATGTTGTATGTTAAATGTGCCGTATTACTTCTAGTAATATCAACGGTTTCAGGTAAGTTATCGGGGTTATGGTTATTTACATCATGATATATCTTAATAAATTGATTGATTAACACGAAACTGGTTAATATATCGTTATAAACATTGAGGTTATCGGGGTTTTGTTTATTTTCATCATCATATGTCTCAATTACTTTATTGATTAATACGAAACTGGTTAATCGTCGGTGAAGTTGCAAAAGGTCGTATCTCCTTTTTTCCTAACTTTACAGGAGAGACTAAAAACGTCGTAACTGTTTTTCTATAAAAGATACGAGATTGATCTTTTACGGTTCAGCGTTGTATCAACCAGGAAAAAATCTCATACAGTCCATTTAAAGAAATCCACAGTCATTTTTTTGTGTACCGAGTTACGACAATTTGACACGTAAAATTAGAAATTAATATAATTGTTGCTTCTTTCTGATGATCATAAAGAAATATTCAATTGGACTAGAGATATGATTATTAGATAAAAAGATGCGCCATACGATCGGGAAATCAGAAATGCAAAAAATCATTTTTCATCAAAAAAAAAGATACGACTTTTTGCAACTTCACAGAAATATACCTTTATAAACATTGAGGGATCAGCGGTCGCTCAGTGAGCAGATTCTTGGATCGCAAAATAGGAGGTCTCGGATTCGCTCCCAATATTGACCGAGACAGATTTTCCGGTGGGGTGGCTGGTGGTGTAGGTCGAATTGGACGAACAGAACGAGGTCCTCTGTACACATTCGCATGCCCGTTCAACAACCATTGATAGTTGGAATTCGAAATAAGAGTAGGCGGTAGTGCCGTTGTCCTAGCAAACTTTACTTCTTAGCACACTGCATGGCGTTTACCCGTCTTCATTATGCCTTTCGCAGCAGAACGTTTAAGCCCATTAAAATTTATAATTCAAGATTTATTTCTATTTGTACCGCGATCGCCACATGTCTGTCTGGCGTGGTTTCGATTCCCTGGTTGTAGGGAGTAGGGTCGCCTGTCCAACCTCGTGGGTTTTCCCCGGGTCTCCCGATTTCCTACCACTGCTAAAGACCCCTACGCGCAAGCGGATTGATGAGATAATATTGAACCATATGTTAGAATCGAAATCACCTAGTTTGTGTCGAGTGGACGTTAAACCCCACCTCTCTCTCTCTCTCTTCCTCCCCCTCTCATCATATTTGGACAATTGGGCAACGACATTAGGAAATTGGATTTAGTTTTATACTGTTAAATGCAAGAAATATAAGTTGGTTTATTTTAATATACTTTAATTATAGGACTAAAAACTGGAGCGTTTTGTTATGGTTCCTCAGCCTTGCCGTGTACTAGTCACACTTTATCTTGTGGCGATGGTTACGTTATGTCGGTGGCTACGGCTATATTTGGAACCAAAGACCCTAGCTATTCCTGCTCTCCCAGCAATATCTGCAATGGTGATTCAAACTGTTGTCGATACCAGAAAAACTCAGAAAAGAGAATTTCTCTTCCCTTGGATATGATGAATTCCATTCAACAGAACTGTACTTACCAGCAAACCTGTACTCTCAACCTTCCATACTTAGATTCACCCGAGTATCACTTTGTTTATTATACCTATGAGTGCATTAAGAGTAAGTAAATTTCGATATTTAACTTCAGAATTACCATATTTCATAGTGTAAATATTGTCAACATTTCATAAATACATCACAATTATAATATCATAAAAATTTCATAAATATTTCATATTATCATAAATAGTATCATAAAATATTTCATATTATCATAAATATTTTACAAACAATTCATAACATCATACATATTTCATGGTATTACGTATTTCATAATCATAAATATTTTATAATATCATAAATATTTCATGGTATTACATAGATAATAGTATCATAACTATTTCATAATATCATAAATATACTATAATATCATAAATATTTTATAATATCATACATATTCTATAATATCATAAATATACTATAATATCATAAATATTTTATAATATCATACATATTCTATAATATCATAAATATACTATAATATCATAAATATACTATAATATCATAAATATTTTATAATACCATAAATCTTTAATATCAAAAATATTATAAATATTTTATAATACCATAAATCTTTAATATCAAAAATATTATAAATATTTTATAATATCATACATTTATTTACAATATCATAAATATTTAATTAACACCATAAATATTTTAAAACTTCATAAATATCTTATAACATCTGCCCTTTTACTTCCAACATTTCCACATATCTGGTTTAATATGTCTATAAAGGAGTGATATTATGAATAATATTTATTTGAGAATATCTAAATATTTTTCTGAATATTAAATTTGTTTTTGAAAATTAATGTAAATTGAAGTTGTTTTTTTCCATAAGTTATTCTTTTTGATCAATTGATTAAAATATTATCCAGTCTGATTAAAATACATACCCTATTTCGTTTCATATTTTATAGTTTAAAATTTCGTTCTATTTGTCTGTACTAGACTGAAATCTGGAAGTGTTGTTATATAACACGCTTTCTTGATGGCGTGAGGTATTAGCCAGTGAAACCATCTGTTACGGCGACTTCTTGGCGTGCCATGCACGGAACTGTGGGAAAACCACTACAACCTTCAACGCTGATTAATCGATGTCTGACGTCATATGGTCAAAAGCCGCTCGTACGACCCCTGACGCGACATTTCAGTAAAATTTGTCAGATCTTCATGTAGTGTAGGCCTTCGAAAGTATAAAAAACGAAACGAAATATAAATCTGTATATTAATCAGATTGTAAATTTTTCTAGTCTTGTATATTTTTCTGTGGGTAAGACGCTGGCGGTTGCGTGCCAGGAGGTTGCGTGCTCGATATCTGCATTGGCCGAGAAAGTTCATCGGGAGTTCATCGGGATTTCCGACGTGTTTTCCTCCTTGTCAGTGGTGCAGGACGGAGGGTCTGACAAGGAAGCTGTCTAGACGTTCGGATGTGACGAAAAACCGAGATCCCGTGTACACATTGGCCTGCACGTAAAAGATCCCTTTACATTTTGAATTCGACATAAAATAGGCCATAACGCCGCTGCTTGGGCAAAATGTCCCTCATAGAACACTGTATGGCGTATACAAGTCTTCATTACCGCAGTCAGGAGCAGGACAGTAGGATATAAAAACCCATTTCATTTCATTTCGTTTATTTGTTTTTTTCAGAATCAGCCATCTTAAGCATGATGTGTAAAGACTCTGTAACTACCCCATACGAGTCCTACATGTTCTATTTCGGTAAACAGCGCAATGACAACCTCAACATATCATGTTCCTGTGATATAACATCTGAGTCCCCAACAATAACACTCTATACTAGATATATTAAATTAGGGGCTCAAACATGTCCTGGTTTCGGCACCTCTCTCTCCACCTTACGGCTAAACAATTGTTCATCTACTGGATTAAGCGACACCTTTAGATTCGTTGCTCACCTACCTACACCAATTCATATGCCAGTTGAACAATTGGCAGCGCATCCTGACGACATCTTTTGGTTGAAATTTCGAAACAACGCGGGTGAGTATATATACGGTAATAGTAGCCTACTCGGTAGTTAGGATGGCCAATTTTGTCTAGAGTGTCGAGCTTCAAACTCTAGCTGACCGGTCACCTCTGGCTTGTGTAGCACTATTTTAGTGATAACAGAGATCGGTTTCGTACAGATAGGGTTTATTTACATCGGAACAGAATATCAAACAGTTACACAGATACAACAGGAACTAAACAAGAGAGAGGAGGAGAGACGCAGATAAATAGATAAGACTCATGATCATACATGCAAGTGTTAGGTCATGGTATGCTTACTGACCAGTGCGTATGCCTTTAAAGTCATGTAGAGCTTGTACACAGATCATATGTAGTTTGTAAATGATATATGGGATTAATTACATGTTTACTTAGATCATAGCCAGTTCGTGCCTTAACTGAAGTATATACAGAGTTGAAAAGTCAATATAATATATTATCAAAAGCAACCTAGGTAAATAAGTTCAATGCACCTAAATGGTCGTTCAATTTGATGAAAGTTATAAAGTGCTTTGTCACACTTGCCGTGTTTCATCATTGTGCTAACATAACATTTGGGAAATAATCCCTCTGTTTCGTGAGTTTTCTCCCTTATTGAGAGTTTTTACACTTCACCATTATAACATTTGGGAAATAATCCCTTTGTTTCGTGAGTTGTCTCCCTTATTGAGAGTTTTTACACTTCACCATTATAACATTTGGGAAATAATCCCTTTGTTTCGTGAGTTGTCTCCCTTATTGAGAGTTTTTATTTCATTTTGAGTGAAGTCTGTATCATGACAGGTCTTTATACACATTCACTTGATTTCATATATACCCTTGATTTTTGTTGCTTGCAATGTATGTGTATATTGTCCGCGGGTTTGTCCTACGTGTTCTGTTTATGTGTGATGTGGTCCTCCTGCGCTGACTCTTTTAGAACAGAACGTTTGTAAATGAGTGAATTGGCGTGGCTCATGTCCCCGGTTTGTGACATGGAGATTGGTCGACTGTTTAATGTAGTGAGAGAGAGAGGGTATTGGTGTTTAACATCCTCTCGACACAAACTAGGTCATTTCGGGTCTAACATGTTCAATTTTATTTCAATAATTCGCTTACGCGTAGGGGTTTTTAGCAGTGGGGGGAAACCGGAGGACCTGGAGAAAACCCACGAGGTTGGACAGGCGACCCTGCTCCTTGTCACGTACAACAAGGGAATCGAAACCACTAATGGGGTGGAGTTTTCTTTGGGTCCTCGCGAATTATTGAAATATGTATGGTATATAGCAGGCACAGGAGGACCACAAAAAACACCAAGCAAAACCGACAAGACAAACATACGGACAAGACAAACTACATAGACTGTTTGAATGGCATTTAGTAATTGAACACATTAAAATAAACACAATAGTTCTATGGATAACAATTACTATATTTAATTAAAGCTACGTTTCAACAATGATTCTCTTGTCGTTATCAAGCACAATACTGATACAGACATGATGATGATGAGTTAGTTGTATTTTACGTCCGCTTCCACCGAGGTGATATCGCAGACAATGACATAATATGTATACAAGGTGCATTAATTTACAATGTGATACAGACAGAAGGAACAAAATATATATACTATGTACAATCAAAACATTCAATGAAACCATAAATTAGGAGAACAGTGACCTTTGATCTTATAATGAAACCATATGCAAAATTATAAACCTCTAATCGTAATTTTGCATATGGTTTCATTATAAGATCAAAGGTCACTGTTCTCCTAATTTATGGTTTCATGGAATGTTTTGATTGTACATTGTATATATATTTTGTTCCTTCTGTCTGTATCAGTATTGTGCTTGATAACGACAAGAGAATCATTGTTGAAACGTAGCTTTAATTAAATATAGTAATTGTTATCCATAGAACTATTGTGTTTATTTTAAACTACATAGACATTGCAAGAAATCGACAACAAATATCAAATCAAGAGAGAGGATTTGGGGACCAGTCGTAAGCTTCCACTGCACTATACAGTCATGTGCCTGTTAATGATACAGCTAGGCTTCACCCAAAATGAAAAATGATTTGATTTAATTGTGAAAAACGTTAGTCCCAAATTTATTCCCCGAAAAAGATATAAACCGTATAGGACATGAGTCCAACATTCTAAAAATGAAAAATGCAAGATATTTGTTTTGATAAAGATAATATGGGAGATTTGATAAAGAGCTGGTAGTTCTCACTATAATAGTTAAATACTAGATAATGTAAAGGTAATTTGCTGAAAATTTCAGTCACATTGATGCACCCTGAACAGAGTATTTAGCGATTGAATTTTGGGCATAGCCTCCATCATTATTACTAAAGTCAGTACGTTAAAACAAAACATAGTCTCGATTATCCACTTTTGACTTAATCAGTAATCAGAAGCAGCAGACCGGGTTCTGATCCAGTAAATATCGTAGGCTAGCGATGCCAGCGAGAGTAGATTATGGTCTGGATAAGTTAATTATTGTCTAACTAATAATTTAGTTAACATGTCCGGCCTAAAGAAATAGGCAGATTTAGCTCTTGTATAATGTATGTTTAACTAATGTTTATCATGAAATATATCACAGTAAAGGCCTTAACTATAATGCATGTTTAACTAATGTCTATAATGAAATATATTACAGTAAAGGCCTTAACTATAACATGTACCGGATGTGGTGTAGATGTTCAAGGTGAGTAAACCCCCAGTATATTATATACTAACGTTAAAAATGTTTTGCTTTACGTGTTTAAATACCGTGAAGGAATTAATCCGTGACTTATCATGATAGAATTGGGGGGTGTTTAAATACCGTGAAGGAATTAATCCGTGACTTATTATGATAGAATTGAAGAGCCGTTTATATACCGTGGCGGAATTAATCAGTGAGAGAGAGGGAGAGAAATGGGGTTTAACGTCCACTCGACACAAACTAGGTCATTTCTGGACTAACACATGGTTCAATTTTATTTCAATCATTCGCTTGCGCGTAGGGATCTTTAGCAGTGGGGGGAAACCGGAGGACCCGGAGAAAACCCACGAGGTTGGGCAGGCGACCCTACTCCTTGTCACGTACAACCGGGGAATCGAAACCCCGCCAGTTGACTCAATGACAGACCGTATGAATTAATCAGTGACTTATTATGGTAGTATTGAAGAGTATTTAAATACCAGAACGAATTAATCCATTACTAATCATGGTAGAGAATTTGTATGATCACTTGTGGTCGCTTCGTAGTGTTTTGAAAGTCCTGGATTATCTGGGATAGCATTCAATCCAACCAATAAACTTTAAAAAAAGATTACAGACTTACGATAAATGATTTTTCAATCACTGATTTTCTTTTCCAACAGGTGCTTGTGGGAAGACGGTGCAGATATCCCAGAATTGCTATGGATCACATGCATGCGCAGATCACCCACTACAATGCAAGGAAGGAAGCGTAATCGCATTGAGTTCATTAACAGTTTATAGGGGACATAGATATTATGAATCACCTGTTTGTCAGAAAGCCACGTGTAACACGGTTACATCATGTTGTAATTATCAGAATCAGGATAGACTACACAGGTTCGATCGTGAAGAACTGGCTGATCTCTTCAAGAAATGTATGTACAGACAGTCTTGTATAAACACGCCTCAATATAGTAACCCTGGTAACGCTACCTATACCTATTATCGATATGAGTGCATTCCTGGTAAGTTGTTAAAGCGATAATTGTATTTCTGTATGTCAAATGTTCAAATGTTCAAATGTGTTTTACATGCATTATGCAAAAGCTAAATCTGCCTATTGCAGATTTGTCTTTAGGCCTCAAATGTTATATAAATTATTAATGATACTGTATGGAATATTTAGATAAAGAGCTGACCATTCATGCTATAATAGCTCAAAAATAGATAATACAAAATTAAAATATTGAAAAAATTTCATTCAAATGTCATTCAAATTACTTCATTCTGAGCACAGTTATCACTGTAAATGAATGTCGAGATCATTTATTAGTTTTACACAGCCAAAATACCTCCGTTGGACTGCAATTACCGGTTAACGGAAGGTAACTCTGTTTATTATGGTTTGATAATAATACTAAGAATAATAACGGGTGATATAACCTAGCGGGAAAGCCTTCGAGAAGATTTTGTGCCCCGGGCGAAGCCGGTTATCGCGCTAGTAATTCAATATTGTCAGCTTAGAAATTGACAATTTCAAGTTCAAACATCATCATTGCGGTTTGCCGATTTCATTGAGCGGTGTTACTGTTAGAACAATATGTGCATTTTGTCTCGACGGTCCGAATCATTCTGCTTATCTTAATGACAAGAGTTTAAAGATTTAAAAAAATATTTACAAAATGAAACTTTAGCAGGTCAGGTGCATATATTATTCAGATAAGAAATATTTGTGTACGCATTTACATAAACTGGTCCATCAATTCACGGATTGAAAACTTCGCCTTTTCCCCGCTGCTAATAAATTATTGAAATGCAATTAAACCGCATGTTAGTCCCGAAGTGACCTAATCTCTCTCTCTCTCTCTCTCTCTCCCTCTCTCCCGCTGCTAATAAATTATTGAAATGCAATTAAACCGCATGTTAGTCCCGAAGTGACCTAATCTCTCTCTCTCTCCCTCTCTCTCCCTCTCTCTCTCTCTATCCTCTCTCTTTCTCTCTCTCCCTCTCTCACTCTCTCTCTATCCCTCTCTCTCTCTCTCTATCCTCTCTCTCTCTATCCCTCTCTCTCACTCTCTCTCTATCCCTCTCTCTCTCTATCCCTCTCTCTCACTCTCTCTCTATCCCTCTCTCTCTCTCTCTATCCTCTCTCTCTCTATCCCTCTCTCTCACTCTCTCTCTCTATCCCTCTCTCTCTATCCTCTCTCTCACTCTCTCCTGTATAAGCTTACATTATAAAGCCTTAGTTTGGATTTTGGATTTTATCCTTCAGAAACCAGTATCATCAATGTGATGACTCCATCATCTGTTGTGGGATTTGGTGAAGCTTTTCTACATTACAACGGGAGTACTCGCACGCCTGGCACTAAGATGGACTGTAAATGCAGAGTAACGTCGGTAGCATCAACTGTTACCATCACCGTGTATCAGCTGATCTTACATCCAGATACCTGCTGCCAGTTTAATATATCCTCAAGCGATACCAGTATTCCTAGTGATTGTCAAGCACAATCTGGCGTTGAATCGTACGCAACAGCCAGTAGAGTCAGCTCGGTACCCATTGACGTTCATATGAATAATTTACTGGCAAGAACAGATGATGTCGTTATTATAAGGTTCAACAGTGGTAAGTTAGGCTATGGCTGTTATTATCTAAGATTTAACCCCAATTGTCTGTCTATAACCTATTGTTGGTCTGCTGCACGTTGTTCCTTTTACCGACAATCGACCCCACTTGTCTGTCTATAACCTATTGTTGGTCTGTTTTATGTTGTTCGGTTGTTCCTGTTATCGACAATATAATCCCGGAACCATTACTTTGATTTGATATTTGTTTACTTTTTGCAATGTCTACATTTTGTCTTGTCCGCAGGTTTGTCTTGTAAGATTTAAGATCATCTAGATGATTAAAACTTGCTATAATACAATCAATAGCATGGTGAATATAGAGAGAAAAATCAGTCTGGGAATTTGTCTTGGTTTTTAAAATCTGTAAATACTTCATATCATGTTGGCTTGTCTCTGTTTACAAAAATGTTGCATTGTGAGAAATATATACTAACACGTTATAGTTCTAGCTCAAAATAGTACGGAATACGATTCTCCAAAAGACGGAAAAGGACTACCAATAACAACAGTTACAGCAATATTTTTACTCTTTAACAATGGGATTTAACAATGCAATTATCAGCACCCCCACCCACCCTTTATTTAATATTATTTCGTTTCGTTTGTTTGTACTTGCGATGGCCTCTACTACATGACGATCTGACCGAATGTTTGTGGAAAGTCACGTGAGATTTCATGCGACTGTTTAGGGGGTTTTTTTACCCTATGACGTTAGACATTTGATTAACCAATACGCGTTGATGTTTCGGGTGGGTTACCCACATTCCCGTGCACCTCACGCAAAAACCGGCCATAACAGACCGTTTCATTGGCTAATCCCTCACGCCATCCAGAACGACGGGTTATATAACAACTCTTCCAGATCCTAGTGAAGTTAAGACAAGTAAAACGAAATTGTGAACTATAAAAACGAAACGAAATAGGATCTGTGTTTTAACCAGATTGTCTCAATCAGTAATCAGAAAGAAACTTCCTCAGAGTAATGGCGATAATTAACCACCAACCCAGTTAACACCACCAGAACAGTAGGACGTTAAACCCCATTTCATTTCATTTCAGTTAACACCACTCCAGTTTAAATATTTAAAAAAATATATCAAAATTGTTACCAAAAATAAATCAAAACTGTCACTGTTAATAAATCTCGTAGACCATCATTCACCAACACACTGTGACATATCAAACAGGTTCATAACTATGAAAAAAATATAAAATGAATGAAATGGGGTTAAACGGGAGAACACTAGATCGGAGACGGTCCTGGACATTTTAGCGCATATGACGTCATATGGCCAGGGTTAGGGTTAGAACCTGCAGATTTTGTCATAGTCTCGAGATGTAAACAGGGCTAACGCTAACCCTAACCCCGAACCAAGCCTAACCCTTATCCTAGCACTAACCCACAGTCTACATAAGACGTCATATGTGCAGGATCGTCTCCGATTTAGCGTTCTCTGGTTTAACGTCTCACTGTTCGGCTCAAATTCATCAGAAGTAGATATTCGCTAGGCCGCTACTATCACCAAGATGTTTAAAGAAGCAGTCCCAAGTATCCACAGATACAAATCAGTTTACGTATGCATATTAAATGCAGAAGTATAAATGAAAAGAAATGGGGTTTAATGTACTACTGTTCTGCCACGACTGTGCTAATGAAGATGGGCAAAAGCCATGCAGTGTGCAATGAGGAACATTTTGCCAGGACAGCGTCATTATGGTCTACTCTTATATCGAATTCCAACTGTCAAGGGATCTTTTACGTGCACGCCAATGTGTAAACGGAACATGGGTTTTTCGTCCCATCATAACGACTAGAAAGCTGTCCCTGTTATGCCCACAATCCTGCACCTCTGACAAGGGGAATCCACGCCGGAAAATCCCGATGAAAGGCCTGACAAGGAAACATGGCTTGTCGTTCGGATACGGCGAAATAAAACATGTTTTGCTTGATAAAGACGGCGCAATTATTAAGCGCATTAAATGTAACTTTATTGCAGGTAAAGGAGTGAATGTTGACTGTGATGGCTGTACGGAAATACAAGATACAGAAAACGGTCAGTTTTTTTATTATTGATTTTGGGATATAATTGTAATTAATAATTATCATGATGCTGTAGCATAATGATCCTTGTTGTGATGCATACTCCCTGCAAGGCCTATGTTCGCTTCTAGTCCACGCACAAATAGAACCCACGCCAAAACTTTTTATTTTTTGTCTGGACGGATGAGGCAAGGTTTAATATATAAATTGAAAGAAAAGTAGGAGCAAACATACTGGTCAGCATATTCCCGAAGCAATGGCCCGAGAAATCCCTCTCTGACCATTGCTGGATTAGCTTCTGATACTTGCGCTTTTGAGGGAGTGTGTCTATTCTTCCCGTTCAATCAAATCTACCCACAAGCACAGCAACATGACAGCCCTTCTTTTTATCAGGGGTCTTCCCTAAAACTTTGGACAGTGATTTAAGGTATTAAAAACGGTGAAAGTCTTGTTCGTCTCAGAACAATATTGTTTACATTATATATCCGTGTTGACAGCTGATAACCTTGTTTGTCACACAATTAGGTTTTCTGCAATATTCTGCTGTGCACTGGTTAATTGGGCATAATAAAATCGTGAGTCATGACGTAACGTTATGTAAACATATTTGGTCCAATGTGGAGCTATTTTTGGTAGTGTTTTACGCAGTTAGCTATTGGTTGTTAATCGGACTATTGACCAGTCATAATTTACAACAAGAATTCGCTTTGTTTACAGCAGTGTTAAGTGGGATTAGCTCTAATCAAACGAAACACTGCGAGGAGTATGACTGGTCAGGGGTGTGTTCGATCTCTACATTGGCCGAGAAAGTTCATTGGGATTTTCCGACGTGGTTTACTCTTGTCAGTGGTGCAGGATGGAGGGTCAAGGATAGCTGTCTAGTCGTTCGGAGGGGACGAAAAACCCGGGCCCCGTGTACACATTTCTAAACTTTTATCTATTTTCAGATGTGTGTATTTATCCTGTAGTCGGAGCATTGACTGGAGATGATGGTAATTTGAATTTAAATATGATATACTTGCTTATGATACTAATGTTAAATTCTCTTATAATTATATTGGGGGGTTGGATGGCTGAATGGTTAGCGTGCGCGCGCTGTATTATAAAGTCTGTCATTGAGTCGACTGGCGTGGTTTTGAATCCCCGGTTGTACGTGGCAAGGAGTAGGGTCGCCTGTCCAACTTCGTGGGTTTTCTCCGGGTCCTCCGATTTCCTCCCACTGCTAAAGACCCCTACGCGCAAGCGAATTATTGAAATAAAATTAAACCATATGTTAGTCCCGAAATGACCTAGTTTGTGTCGAGTGGACGTTAAACCCCATTTATCTCTCTCTCTCTCTCTCTCTATCTCTTATATTTATATCATAGCCTACAACTTATTATATAAGCTATTCATGTGTGTCGATTCCTCGATTGTACGTGACAAGGAGTAGGGTCCAACCTCTTGAGTTTCCTCCAACTGCTAAACTCTCTCTCTCTCTCGCTCGCTCTCTCCCCCTCTCTCTCTCTCTCTCTCGCTCGCTACCCCCCCCCCCCCCTCTCTCTCTCTCTCTCTCTCTCTCTCTGTTGATAGATAGATACTGTCATGTGTAATGATATATTACTTATATTTATAGAGGGGTGTGCAAAAGATACTCTCTCTCTCTCTCTCTATCTCTCTCTCTCTCTCTCTGAGGTCGGGTGTTCGATCCCTGCATTGGCCGAGAAAGTTCATCCAGATTTTCCGGCGTGGTTCCCCATGACACCAAGATCATCAAATTTGAGTTCATAGTTACATAGTTATGATCATTTTAAGACGTTTCAGTGACCATTAATTTGACGCCATCTTGAAAAAAAAAACTTTTCCGGGGGTCCTACTTTGGTAAGCTTTTAGTATGTTATAAAGTATACTAAACCCAACCAGAATCAGTTGTCAGTGATGCAGGACGGAGGGCCTGACAAGGACAGCTGTCTAGCCGTTCTGGTGGGACGAAAACCCGAGGTCCCGTGTACACATTGGCGTGCACGTAAAAGATCCCTTGACAGTTGGAATTCGATATAAGAGTAGGCCGTAGTGCAGCTGTCCGGGCAAAATTTCCCTCATAGCACACTGTATGGCGCATGCCCGTCTTCATTAGCCCATTTAGGAGCAGAACAGTAGGACGTTAAACCCTATTTTATTTCATTTTCATTTCTCTCTCATTTCATGTGCCTTCATTTATCCCATATAGGGTATTCCCCCAACATTAGTGCGTTAGAATATGGCGTTTAACTACCCTCATTGTTGGACTTCTAATATGAAAATGAAATGATAGCTAAGCCGCACTAACACGAAAACTATCAGTATTTGTATTTGTGTGACAGTATTGGTTCTTTAATCAAGTTCAGATGACAGGACTAGTTCAACATCGTCTAATACTTGTATTCTCTGCTTCTTACATATCAAGTACAAACATCGTAATGTTAAAGACATCCAGAACTAACTTGTATTGAATGAGCCATGTCCTAGCTTGGCACAAATACGCTCTCCCTCATTCCGTCTCGCCCCGCTCTCGTGTCCTCGCCGGACCTAACTGTCGATTCGTTTGTTATCTGGGTTTATAAACCCTTCCAGACAAAGGAATCTTATTAGACATTTGGTTAATGTATCATGTATCGTATCAGATTTAACATTTAATACAGTTTGCCTATCATCAAAGAAAGTTTAAATAAGACATGCCAACAAGTTAAATTTAAGACTGCATAATAACATAAGACCTCTAGAGGTGTCGATAGTAGACAGGTTTAAAATCACTTTCGCGTGTCAAGATGATAGGAAGCGTCTATGACACCTGTTATTATGTAACACTGGGCGTTAATAACTTAATCAACTGTGTTTATTATAAAACAGAGACAACATGACGCACCCCTCCAACTCAGAAATGTTTTAGTCAAATATTTTTCTTTTTCTGTCAAAAGAGAAATATCTGTCCATTTTATTTTTTTTTATTTTATGATGTCCGCTCTTCTTTGCCGGGCGTTGATAATTTGGAGGATTTTTAGTCTGGTTTATTAACAAATGGGACAACGGGTCCCCTCGCCGCCATGATTTCGGTTCGATATTTATTTTCAGTTCGGGGGATTGGATGGCCGAATGGTTAGCGCGTGCGCGTTGTATCTGTCATTGAGTCAACTGGCGTCTCTCTCTCTCTCTCTCTCTCTCTCTCTCTCTCTCCCTCTCGTTCCTGTGAATATTGAAAAATGTTCTATGTTGTTCAATTCTCTATCATGATTATATTTCAGGAAGTGATACAATAGCTATTGCTGCTGGTGTAGTTGGTGGACTTCTTCTGCTAGCTCTGCTGGTGATAGTCATCTGGAGATGTAAACGGTAAGATCCATACACTAAATACTTCATCGGCCCTCAGTCATATAGTCTTATCGTCCAGAAAAAATATTATTCGCAACATTTCAGAATAATAGGTCATTGGCTAGATTATCCGATCTTTTACAATATCATAAACGAAGTCCAAGAGAGGACACTATTCCTAAAACAAGATGTTCTGGGTGACCGAGACTACAATAAGCCCGCCGTCAGACCAAAGCTCGATGTGTTCAGATCTAAAAGATTTGGCGATCCAAGGAGACTCATAATTTCTAGCAGGTCGCGTATAGTTGGAGTACAAATTTGATGAAATTACTTCAACCAGACTCGGTAACTACACGATGACGATACAATCAAACAAGAACCTAACACGCTCTCAGCACGAGCAACACGATCCACGAAGACCTTCACCAGCTTTATACCCCCGTCAGACCGGAGTGGCGTCCTTACTGCGCTGCTACGGCGACGGAAAATGGTCTCAGAGCGCGTCAAGATCGTCATTAGCGTGGTAAAAGCGTGATGGAAACGCCAGATATCGCGCTGTGGTCGCCGTTGTCGCCAATGATCGCCGAGTCACGACGTTTGTTTTGAGCATGTTCAAAACAAACGCCAAGGTTGTGCGATCTGACCTGGAAAGCTGTGAGAAGGCGACTTTTTTCATGTTTGTAATTTTTTGGGACATTTTATCCCGTTGTGTTCACGTTTGCCGGCGACCCTGTGCATTTTCTGGTCCCCGTACAGTCGCAGCAGCGCAGTAAGGACGCCACCCAGGCCTGACGGGGGCTTAACAACGCGACTCAAAATAATTCCAGTTGCTTTAGATCGAGCTTTGGTGTGATGGGGGCTTCAATAGTGATGTAGAGGGAGTGGCAATATAAATCCCACACTCAATTCAAGTACAACCCATTTTAAAGGCCTGCACATATCACGAGTTATATATTACCACAGCTCGATTTCTCGGTAACGTCAATTTGCTGGACAGTATACACAACGCACATAACGACGATTTCCGTCACAGAAGTATCGTCCGCGATTGTGTGCCGTACACAAAACTTCTTTTGCCTCATTTAATTATAAAGAAAAAAATAATAAAAAGTACAAAACGAGTTGTTATGCAAAGTTAAATATTGTGGCATCCATCTAAGGTTTTTAAAACCTAAACCATCTTCACTTCCGGTTATTGCTAAATGATAAGGCCTAACGCTTACCCTAACCCTAACCCACAATCACGTGCCATAACCTTACATCTCAGTGACCTTGACGAAAATTGAGTTGGCCTTAACAAATAGATCTATCCCTCCACATCCATCCGTTGTAATCTGATATACATATATTCATCGATGATAAATAAGCCGCGGGTTGTCGTAGCTTTATGTTCTATTTAAATGTATTTTATTGTTGTAGGTCCAAGTCGAAGCAGACGTTACCAACAGACTTCTAAATTTGGACACAGAAAGGTGAAACATTGTCCATAAAAATCATTTCTATCTGAAAGTCGGTATATCAGTAAAGATCATTTCTATCTGAAAGTCGATATATCAGTAAAGATCATTTCTATCTGAAAGTCGGTATATGTCTGTAAACAGTATTTCTATCTGAAAGTCGGTATATGTCTGTAAACAGTATTTCTATCTGAAAGTCGGTATATATCTGTAAAAAGTATTTCTATCTGAAAGACGATATATCAGTAAAGATCATTTCTATCTGAAAGTCGATATATCAGTAATGATCATTTCTATCTGAAAGTCGGTATATGTCTGTAAACAGTATTTCTATCTGAAAGTCGGTATATTTCTGTAAACAGTATTTCTATCTGAAAGTCGGTATATGTCTGTAAAAAGTATTTCTATCTGAAAGACGATATATCAGTAAAGATCATATATATCTGAAAAATATATTTAGTTTTAAATTAAATATCATCTTTGAATGTCGTTCAGATAATGCTATTATTAAACACTGTTTGTATTCAGACTAATAACCCCATCATGTATATAGAATTTTTTTTTCTGACAAGACATCCAACTGTATTTTCAATACTGCTTTTGTGAATTGTGATATTTTCTTCTTTTTTTTTGATAAGACATCCAACTGTATTTTTAATATTGCTTTTGCGAGTGGTGATATTTTCATTTATACTTTTATGAAAACATTTATCTTTCCAATATTCTTTTGTATATAAAACCTTGTTAATTATATATCGGAATACAACTTATTTTGTATTTTTATATTTATTTTCTTTATGGGTTAACTCGATATTTATTTTTTCTTTTGTGAGGGTTTTTTTTTCTAAACAATATATTTATTCATTAAATCTGAATTTGGATTGGGGGCTACGCCTATGTGTAACCCATCTCTCTGATTTAGATACATGTACACATTATAAAAATATATTAATTACATAAATATAGAAATGAAATGAAATGAAATGAAATGGGGTTTAACGTCCTACTGTTCTGCTCCTAACCTGGGCTAATGAAGACGGGCATACGCCATACAGTGTGCTATGAGGGAAATTTTGCCCGGACAGCGGCACTACGGCCTACTCTTATATCGAATTCCAACTGCCAAGGGATCTTTTACGTGCACGCCAATGTGTACACGGGACCTCGATTTTTCGTCCCATCCGAACGACTAGACAGCTTTCCTTGTGAGCCCCTCCGTCCTGCATCACTGACAAGGGAGAACCACGCCGGAAAAACATAAATATAGAACATATAGGATACATAATGGATAATATAGAGACTCGTATTTGTTGCTTAGTTTTATATATATTGATAATTTCCGTCTAATATTATTAATAAATAAATTCTATCATTTATAGTTATATTTTATTAAATATTCTTGGCAAATCAGTACGACGTTTGTTGGGGTCATTTTACTTGACCTATTCAAAAAGCCTACGCATGTTAAATGAAAAAAGAAAACCCACGAGGTTGAACAGGCGACCCTACTCCCTGTCACATACAACCGGAGAATCGAATCCCCGTCAGTTGACTCAATGACAGACCCTATGATACAACATGCGCGTATTAACCATTCGGCCATCCAACCCCCAATTTTTGTATATAATTGATACTTTTAATATATGTTAGATATTAATTAGAAATCTGTTTTTTTGTTAATATGGAAAATCTATTTATTTCCTTAAAAATTATATTTTCATTCTAATAAAAAAAATTAACTGTATTGTAAATACTTTCAAGATGTGTTATGTAAGATTTAGATGTAGAGCTGGCCATTCTTGCTATAATAGCTAAAAAATAGTTAAACATACATTATGGGAGACTAGATAAAGAGCTGGCAGTTCTCATTATAATAGATAAAAACTAGATAATGTAAAGGGAATTTGTGGAAAATTTCAGTCAAATTGATCCACTCTGAACCGGGCTTTTAGCGATTGAATTTTCGGTCTACCCTCGATCGTCATTGCTAAAGTCCGTAGGATACAAAACATTATTGTCTCGATTAACCATTTCATGATTAAATCAAGAATGAAAGTGGAGCAGCAAATGGTATCCTAATCAAGTAAATATCGCAGGCTAGCGATGCCACCGAGAGTTTAGTATGGTCTTAATAAGTTAATTAATGTCTAATTAATAATTTAGATAACATTTCAGGCCTAATGAAAGACATGCAATAGACAGATTTAGCTCTTGCATAATATATGTTTTAAGTAGTGCTCTCAACCTGTCGCACATTCCCTCGAACTAAACATAACTTTCCTGTAGCTGTAAAGTACTCGATCAATATACCAGTGTTAATTTATATGATAATTGTAGATTTAGAATGTAATACGGATGCCTGTAACACGTTTTAACACCATATCTTTCTACACAAATTAACATTTTATATGGCGTATTTTGTTATTTGTAACATCCTATTTTTCTCCACCCTTTTCAGGGATGGACTGACTTAGTATGGTATGTAAAATAATGTGGAATTTTAATAAATCGACAAATGAAAAGCGCATGTTTTTGATAATCACTCCCCTCCCCCCCCCCCCCCCATGTAAATCAGTTTTACCATATAATCAATATTGGGCTTATGGTCATGTGCAGTAGAGAAAGGGGGAGAGAGAGAGGGGGAAAGAGAGAGGGGGGAGGGAGGGTCATTTCGGGACTAACATATTTATATTTCAATAATTCGCTTACGCATAGGGATCTTTAGCAGTGGGAGGAAACCGGGGGACCCGAAGAAAACCAATCTGAACTACAGACAACTTACTATCTGCACGCCCTCCCCCAAAATCTGCATGCCCTCCCCCAAATCTGGAGTGAGGGGGAGAAATGGGGTTTAACGTCCACTCGATACAAACTAGGTCATTTCGGGACTAACACATGGTTCAAATTTATTTTCATAATTCGCTTGCGCGTAGGGGTCTTTAGCCGTGGGAGGAAACCGGAGGGCCCGGAGAAAACCAACAGGTTGGACAGGCGACCCTACTACTTGTCACGTACAACTGGGGAATCGAAACCACGCCGCCCAGTTGACTCAATGATAGACTTTATGATGCAGCTCGCACGTGCTAACCATTCAGCCATCCAACACTCCTATCTAGATTAGTAATCTAAATGAAGTTGTTGCAGATCAAATAGAAAACTAGGCTAGTTTGCTTCAAGATTTTTGGGAAATGGGTCTTCTTTATATTGTTTCTTTTTTTTTGTCACCAAATCGCCGGGCCCCTGCTATCCTCGTAGAATACATTTCAACTTTTAAAGCTCAGCCATCTCACAGTTTTTGGAAAATCCGATGTCACTAAGATTATTTTCTGTAGATGTAGGTTTCACTTTTTTAAAGGGACTATCCCGATTTGAACAGAGTCTCAAAAATAAAAGTCAGAGAACATGTGAAATTTAAGCGCCCAAATATATTGAGTCGTTTTTACTTGAATGTCAAAACTGCTTATCCAGACACCTAACCCTTTTAAGATTTCGGGTCAATTTTTTCCGGGTCCTTTAGAGGTCTATGCAATGAATGACCCATGCGTTGTACTTGATAACGAAAGGTAAATTTTAAATACACATTATTTTTATAAAATAAAAGTCTGATTTTTCCAGACACCTCATAATGCAGCTTAGGACTCCATTTCCAGATGAAGACTGACGGGTTTAAGTTGTTCGAAAACGTATCACAAATATTAAGGTAGTTGCTCGGTAGAGGATTTAAAGGGATTTTAATACAAAATTAAGAAGTTTTATTCTCCAGAATATTATCGGGATTGGCCCTTTAAGTGTGGCATAATTAACCTACGTATCCCCCCCCCCCCAAAGTCGTTTTGGTATATATATGATCTATATACCAAAACCACTAAGATGTGGATGGAAAAATCTGTATTTTAATAACATTTAATTACAGTGTCTTCAGGGCTATATACAAAAGACAATAAGTTCGCTTAGTTATATAATGGCGCGACTTCAATAAGGGGACATAACTCCAGTATGCCCTAAGCAACTGGGTAATTTTATAATCAAAATAATGTTCATTTCAATCGCCGGTTCAGTTTAGGGAATATAAATCTATCAGTCTGTTCTCATTGGCTTCCAATAGTTGTTCATTTATGAAATTTAACTTATAGAATGAATGCCAACTGTGAGCCAGGGTTAGGATTAAAAGTTTGGGGGAGAGGTTAAGTCTCCACATGGGCATTGATCTAAGACGATGCAAATTTAATTCGTGGTATTTCCTAGCACACTGATCAGCAGTGAATTTTTGCTGGGCCTCTACAATCACTGATAAGGATGACATTGATGCGACTTAATGAGTCCCAAATATTAACTTTTTTCTTCCCTCAATTTAAATTCTAAAACAATTTTTTTACATTTATTAGAAAAATAAATAAAGACGTTGGAATTATTTGTAGGTAAAAATCATTATCATTTCCTATTTAGTGTAAATGGGTATTAAAATAAGTAAAATTCATAATTTTGGCCCGAATCAGTAACGTCTTATGTAAACAATGCACGTGCTATTGAGCCAATGATTGACGCCGCGTGATGTGACGTCACGTGTCGAAACGTCATCTGTTACCGAGATATTAGAAGATCTATGTGAAACAGATTGATTTCCTAGTTTTATGGAGAAAAAATATACATAAACGGATATAGAGAGTTCCATCCCTGCGTAGGCCGAGAATAGTCAACGGAATTTTCCGGCATGGTACCCCCCCCCCCCCTTGTTAATAACGCAGGACGGGTAGCCTGACAGAGGACAACGTATGGTCGTTCGGAAGTGACGATAAATCGAGGTTCCGTGTACACATTGGCGTGCACGTAAGAGATGCCTTGGCAGTTGAAATTTGATATAAAAGTGAGCCGTAGCGCCCTTGTCCGGACAAAAGTTCCCACATAGCACACTGTATAGCGTATGCCCGTCTTCCTTATCCCAGTCGGGGCAGAACAGTAGGACGTTAAACTCCATTTCATTTCATTTTATTTTAAGTTTTGCTTAAAACTCACTTCAGCGTAGGTGTTTTTAGCAGTGGGAGGAAACCATAAGAACCGAGAATATCCGCGAGGTTGGGCAGGCGACCCTACTCCTTGTCACGTACAAATTAGAAACGAAACCACGCCTGCTGACTCAGTGACTGACATTATTTTACAACGCGCACGCGGTAACCATTCGGCCACCCAACAGCCCCCCTCCCCTACACACACACTCACACACACACGAAAAGCGGGAATATTTTTCAAAATATTGTATTATGTTTTGTGTATGTCGCACATCCACAAGATATTCAAGCTTGCATCAGTTTATTATAAAAATAATTAATACAAATATAACTAAAAAGACAAATACATTATTCATATGTCAGTATAATAGTAATTAAAAACAAAAGAAATTAATATATTTCTATTTACACGGGAAAGAGATTCTTCAAGGCCAGGTTCATGAAACAAAATCTTACTTTAAAGATACATTATGGGAGATTAGATAAAGAGTTGACTGTTCTGACTATACTAGTTAAAAAAGAAGTAATATAAATAGAATATGTTTAACATTTCAGTCAAATTGCTCCACTCTGAACCGAGATATTAGTTTCTAAATGTTAAGCCTAGTCCCGACCATCATTACTAAAGTCTGTACGATAAAAAACATAGTCTCGATTATCCATTAATGGATTTTAAACATCAATGAGCGTTGAACAGTAGTTCGGATTCAAATCCAGTGAAAATCTGACACATAAGATGACATCGAGAGTTAATTATGGTTTGGTTAAGTTAGACAGACATTATTCAAGAGCTAAATCTGCCAATTGCAGGTCTTTCTTTAGGCCTGAAATGTTATCTAAATTATTAATTAGACGTTAATTAACTTATCCAGACCATAATCAACTCTCGATGGTATCGCTAGCCTGCGATATTTACTGGATTATGATCTCATTTGTTGCTCGACTTCCATTCATAATTTAATCATGAAATGGATGATCGAGACTATGTTTTTTTATCGTACAGACTTTAGTAATGATGATCGAGGCTAGGCCGAAAATTCTATTGCTAAATCTCAGTTCAAAGTGGATCAATTTGACTGAAGTTTTCAGCAAATTTCCTTTACATTATCTATTATTTAACTATTATAGTGAGAACTGCCAGCTCTTTATCGAATCGTCCATATTGTATCTTTAAAGGGACTCTTATTGATTAATTTTAATTCTATCTTAATATTGTGTAATATCAATCATCAACAATTTGAAATGAAATGAAATGGGGTTTAACGTCCGACTGTTCTGCTCCTAACCTGGGCTAATGAAGACGGGCATACGCCATACAGTATGCTATGAGGGAAATTGTACCCGGGCAGCGGCGCTACGGCCTACTCTTATATCGAATTCCAACTGCCAAGGGTCTTTTACGTGCACGCCAATGTGAACACGGGACCTCGGGTTTTCGTCCCATCCGTACGACTAGACAGCTGTCCTTGTCAGACCCTTCATCCTGCATCACTGACAAAGGGCAACCACGCCGGAAAATCTGAATGAACTTTCTCGGCCAATGCAGAGATCGAACACCGCCAGGCTAGCGAGCCAGCGTCTTACCCACTTAGTCACGTGCTCCCCAACAATTTGAATATTCATGTCTATCAGCGTTAGAGTATATTTTTTTTTTCGGGGGGGGGGGATCACGTGGCTAAGTGGGTAAGACGCTGGCTCGATAGCCTGGAGGTAGGCCGTAGCGCCACCGCCGGGCAAAATTTCCCTCATAGCACACTGTATGGCGTATGCCCGTCTTCATTAGCCCATGTTAGGAGCAGAACAGTAGGACGTTAAACCTCATTTCATTTTAGAGTATATTTTTGGTGAAATCATGAAAAATATTGGTTTGATTTACGAAAACGACAAATATCCATCAAAAGAAAATTAGTAACATATACTTATTTCCAATTAATAATAAATATTATTCTTATCAAAAAAATTGGTTCCAAATTATTAACAATTAAAATAAAATAATGGATACTTAAAATCATAGTTATTTTTTAAAAATATATACTTATTAGGCATTTTAAAAAAAAATAATGCATACTTAAAATCAAAATCATTAATTTATAATTATTTGTAATTAACGATCAAAATTATTAACTATGGAAGATCAGTGTTCTTAGTTCTTTGTTCTTAGTCCGTATTTCTTATTTCTTCATTTGTTTTCTTAATCCGAGATTTGTACACTAAAATTAACATTAAAATTTGTATCTTAAAATATTTGTTTTACAAATCAGACATCTGTCATATCAGATTTCTATATTGTATTTCTGTTTAATTTAATAAAGGTACAATTTATTTTAGAAAATCAAAAAAATATCCTGCCTTTACATATCATCACGGACATACAAAGAAAAACAATTCTCGAACAACAAATTTCTAAAAACACAAATCTCCGAATACAAATCTTGCAAAAACATTTCCCGAAATTCATCGAACCGGAACATTATGACGACATGGGCGGATATCAACCTGGCGTGCAATACGTCACCATACAATAATGTGGAATCGTGCAAGCATTTAAGAACTAAGTATTAAGAACACTGAATAAAGAGCTGTTTGGTCTTACATAAATAAAACGTAATTATATGATATTAATAATATATATGCATACTTAAAATTAAAAAATACAATGAGTTATATCAATTAGTTTAACAATAAATTCTAGAAAAATAATATCGCGTTATGTCATATCTCTTATAAGAAATAGTTCCTGTCTAACTTAATGAATCTAAATCAGAGTTATCCACCTTTAACGTTATCAGGTAGTGTGAAATAAACTCAGTGATTGTTTTCAATATAAATCGTGTTTTTATATTAGCCTATATATTCAATTTCTAAATGTCATATAATGATTTAATGATTTAATGACAGACCTTATGATACAGCGCACACGTGCTAACCATTCGGTGTGGAGAGATTCTGTTATTTGCCCAAAACGAAAATATTATGGAATTTACGAACAAATAAGATGTAAATAGAAGTCACTACGGCCAAAAATTAATTCAACTTCTTACATATTCAGGTCGATCGATTTCTGTGCATTCATATCCGCAAACTGACTTGGGATGCTCTTCACAGATGCTGTGCTTGACATACGTGTTGCGTTAGACTTGCTAGAAACACCACTGTAAGTACTGCTTGCATCATCGTACTGGTTGGGTTGGAAACCACCATAAGTCGGATTCGTAACACCAGCGCCAACATCTTTAGCCCTCAGAACGACTGCTGCATTCGATCGTCTGAAAGAATAACAAACTGGGAGATCAGCTAACAGTGGATTAAGCCAGATTGTATATATGACAAACACGGTTATTTCGGGTCTAACATATGGTTCAATTCCATTTAAATAATTCGCATGCGCGTAGGAGTCCTTTGTGTTGATAGAGATTAAAATCACCGACATGTTTTAACAAAAAAATACCTACAGTATGAATGTGGAAAGCATTACTGGTCTGAAGACTGATGATTTCCAAACCGTATGAAATGAAATGAAATTGAATTGAATTGAACTTTCTACTGTTCTGATCCGATCTTGGCTAATGAAGACGGGCATACGCCATACAGTGTACTATGAGGAAAATTTTGCCCGGGCAGCGGCACTATGGCCTACTCTTATATAGAATTCCAACTGTCAAGAGATCTTTTACGTACACGCCAATGGGTACACGGGACCTCGGTTTCTTGTCCCATCCGAACGACTAGACAGCTGTCTTTGTCAGGCCCTCCGTCCTGCATCACTTACAAGGAAGAATTAAGCCGGAAAATCTGGATGAACTTTCTCGGCCAATTTGTAGGGATCGAACAGCCGCAAAGCCTATGAAATGAAGCGAAATATTTGACTAACTCACCTCTTGCAAAACAATGCCACGATGAACGTGATAATAAGGAGAAGAAGAAAACCGCCGATAGCACATCCAATTAACATCGGCAAATTAAGACCTATAACATAAACAAAACATTTTTCTAAACATGAAATGAAATGACATGGGGTTTGACGTTTTAACGTTCTGCTCCTATTCGGCTATTGTAGACAGGTATACGCCATAAAGTGTGCTATGGGCGAAACGACTTGATGACTTGACGATGTACGCACTACTGACAAGGGGGAACCACGCCGAAAAATCCTTTCTTGGTCAATTAAGGGATGGAACACGCGACGCTCCAATTTAGGGAGAGAGGGAAATGGGGTCTAACTAGGTCATTTCGAGACTAACATAATATAGTCAATTTTATTTCAAGAATTCGCAGTAGGAGGAAACCACAGAAACCCTACGAGGTTGGACAGGCGACGCTATTCCTTGTCACGTACAGCCGGGGAATCGAAACCACGCCAGTTGACTCAATGGCAGACCATATGAAACAACACGCACGCGTTAACCATTCGGCCATTCACCCCCACCCCTCCAGGTTAGAGAGCCACCCCTTATTGTTAATAGCATCGCACATACCCTTACTTTCTGGTGATTGCAATCCGGAAACTACAATCTCTCCCTGGATTTCCTTGAGATCTTCGTCAGTAACGTTAAACATTTTTTCCAGATCTGTTTTATCAATTTCTGATATTATTGTCTCGTCATCCTCTTCTGTAGTCGTAAAGAACTGCATTAGGGTGGTTATTGGTCTAGCATAGGTTGTTCTTGGTCTTGAGGTTGTGGTCATTAGTCTTAAGGGTGTTGTTGGTCTTGCAGTGTATATTACTGGTATTGTGCTGGGTGTTGTTGGTCTCGCAGTACGTGTTGTTGGTCCTGTGCTTCTTATTGTTGGCCTTGCAGTGAATATTACTGGTATTGTGCTGGATGTTATTGGTCTTGCAGTACGTGTTGTTGGTCCTGCAATGGGTGTTGTTAGTCTTGTAGTTGATGTTGTCATCGGGCGTGTTGTTGTAGTCCGTATTGTTGGTTTTGTTGTTGACGGCCTTGTAGTCACTGCAATGGATTCTATGAGAAAAAATGTAATCGAGAGTAAGAGAGAAACATGGGGTTTAACGTCCACTCGACACAAACTAGGGTACGTCGGGACTAACACGTGGTTCAATTTTATTTCAACAATTCGCTTGCGCGTAGGGGTCTTTAGCAGTGGGAGAAAACCCACGAGGTTGGACAGGCGACCCTTCCCCTTGCCACATACAACCAAAAAATCGAAACCACGCCGGTTGACTCAATGACAGACCTTATGATATAGCGCGAACGTGATAACCATTCGGCCATCCATCCCACCACCCACCACTCCTCTAAAATATTATAATTAATAATGTATGTCACCGATATAAAAAATACAATGTCGGAAGAAACAAAGACAAAATGGAACGTTCTACTATCTTGCACCAACATGGTTAATGAAGGTAGGTGTACGCCACACAGTGTGATGTACTGGTCCGAACACCAGCATTCCTGCCTACTCGTCGTCGACTTCACTGGGACCTCGGTCTTTATTCCCACCCGACATGTAGACAGGAACTCGTTTGTTCATCCCATCCGAGCAACTAGACAAAAGAAGGAGGTAAAGAAAAATAAATGTTTTACCTTCGACAGCTGTTCCAGAACATTCCCAAGTTACGAATATATATTTGTAATACCTCACTGGAAAAGAATATATACACACAGAGTAAGTGACTAGAATAAATTCAGATTGATCATTTTCTTTTTTTTTACTGAATTCTTTATTACATATTTTATTTATTTACAATGGGCATTTTAATGCTTTGTTGAATCTATTAGTAATAAAATTTAAAGGGTAATGGTGTCTTATAAAGAAAATTCTAAATTCACTAAGTCTTAAAATAATATTATAGGGAATATTACGTTTTATATGTGAATGGTGACATTCATATTTGAATACATGTGAATGGTGGCATGAGTAAAGGTTAAGATATATGTGAATGGTGGCATGAGTAAAGGTTAAGATATATGTGACATGAGTAAAGGTTACGATATATGTGAATGGTGGCATGAGTAAAGGTTAAGATATATGTGACATGAGTAAAGGCTAAGATATATGTGAATGGTGGCATGAATAAAGGTTAAGATATATGTGAATGGTGACATGAGTAAAGGTTAAGATATATGTGAATGGTGGCATGATTAAAAGTTAAGATATATGTGAATGGTGGCATGAGAAATGAAATGGGGTTTAACGTCCTACTATTCTGCTCCTATACTGGGCTAATGAAGACGGGTATATGCCATACAGTGTGCTATGAGGGAAATTTTGCCCGGGCAGCGGCACTATCGCCTACCAGTTTGCGTGCATTCCAATATATACACAGGACCTCGGTTTTTCGTATCAACCGAAGGACTAGACATGAGTAAAAGTTAGGATATATGTGAATGGTGACATGAGTACAGTTAAGATATTGGTATGGATTGAACTTTGTATAATATAAATCAGCTTTAATTAAACCATCTTTTGACATAGTTACCGGTACATCTAGAAATCTAGGTCTAGGTCCCTTACTACATCCCCAAATCCTGCCCCAGAATGTTACCGAATACATATATAGCTTTAACAATTATTGAAACGATTTATAACATAATAGAGATACTTACTAGATATTAACTCAATCATTAAATTAGTAATCGGTCCATGTACCATTAATTTTGGAGGCGATCGTCTGTAGTTTTTAACCCGATATCGTAGGTTACTCAGCAGGTTTCCATGAGATAGCTGGATGGATTTCTGTTCATCGTTGGTTTGAAGCAAGAAGAAATAATCATTGGCTATCGAGAACCAACAAGAGACACCTTTCTTTAAAGAGCCTTTGATCATTATATGGACACCTGATCGCACTCCGATTGATTGAGTTGGATTTGCTATTCTAATGGTTGGAGGATCTGAATAACAGAGATAGAGAGAGAAAAACATCGGGTTTAATCGATAGGCCATTTCGGAACTAACATACTAGTTCAATTTTATATCAATAATTCGGTTTCGCGTAGGGATCTTTAGCTGGGAGCAGAAGCTATTTCTTTAGTTAAATTGAACTAAAACGAATTAGAACAAAGGATAGGATTTAAATATTAAAAGCAGAAATCAAATTCACTTGACATTTTCATGTAACCCATGTCTGGCTATCTGACAACTCAATATATATCTTCTTGGGTTGCCCGTCCAACCCCGTGGGTTTTCTCCGGGTCACACACTTTGTTCTATTTCTTCTTAAGTTCAATCCATCCAAGGAAAATATTTGCTGACCCTCTGTCAGCTTGCTCGATTCTCCTTTGTTGTATGGTGACTTATTGTATGCCAGGTTGATTTCCGCTGATTTCGGTGGATTTCGAGAAATGTTTTTGGCGAAATGTTATTGAAGAAATGTTTTTGGAGAAATGTTTTGCAAGATTTGTATTTGGAGATTTGTATTTAGAAATTTGTTGTTCCAGATTTGTTTTTCGTTGTATTTCCCAGATGAAATGTAAATGTATTTTGATTTTCTAAAATGAATTTTATCTTTATTTTGAAATACAATTAAAATAAATTTTAAAAATCTGATATGCCAAATCTGATTTGTAAAAGAAATATTGATTTTAAAATACAAATGTTAATTTTAGTATACAAATGCCGAAATACGACAACAAATGAAGAAATAAAAATTAAGGACTATGAATTAAGAAATAATGACTAAGAACACTGAATAAAGAGCTGTTTGGTCTTCCATATAAAGAAAGGCCTGTTACAAGCCTTTTTTGCTCTTACATTATGCAGCTTTAACCAGTTAATTTATTGAACAGTGACACAAATTATACACATTTTTTACAAAAACAAGTATCTGAAAGCCGAAGGTTTTAATCAGTTGGGGTCACGGTGGCTAAGTGGGTAAGACGCAGGCTTGCTAGCCTGGAGGTCGGGTGTTCGATCTCTGCATTGGCCGAGAAAGTTCATCCAGATTTTCCGGCGTGGTCCTCCCTTGTCAGTGATGCAGGACGGAGGGCCTGACAAGGACAGCTGTCTAGTCGTTCGGATGAGACGAAAAACCGAGGTCCCGTGTACACATTGACGTGCACGTAAAAGATCCCTTGACAGTTGGAATTCGATATAAGAGTAGGCCGTAGTGCCGCTGTCCGGGCAAAATTTCCCTCATAGCACACTGTATGGCGTATGCCCGTCTTCATTAGCCCAGTTCGGAGCAAAAGAGTAGGACGTTAAACCCCATTTCATTTCATTTCATTTTAATCAATTGTTAAAGATAAATTATAATCAAGATCTACCTGGTAAACACTCGTAGGTAATATAAGACATTGCATAATGGCTGAACATCTTTGATCTTGGATACCACCAACGTCGTGACATTTTACATTTCGCATGTTCGGATCCAGCAGGAGTTGACAGTGTACATGATTGCTGAGTGTGGCACTTAGACAGGACAGTCCCCAGATCGTCGGGCGTATAATCGATGGCGCATAGATCATTCCTATAATCAAAACAGCATCCGGTCCTGTTTCGACGGGTGCTCTTAACGGGACAACTGGATTCGGTAGTGGCAAATATATACTGAGTGTTCACGATGAAGATCTTCTTTCCTGCGTCACATTTCAAGTTGTGTCCAGAACAGGTTGAACTAGATCCATCTTTACAGTGATAACTGGTATACAGTCTGTTCCCTGGAAACATGCAAAACAAAACAAAAACAAATTGAAAAGTCTGGTTATCCTGTTTCAAATGGTCTCGCAAATTTCGGGGAATCTGAGGTATTACCATAGAATGAAATAACATCAGAGGGAGACAATAGTGACAAGATGGACATGCGGTCTAGGGGATTACCATAGAATGAAATAACTTCAGAGGGTGACGAAGGGGATTACCCCAGAATGAAATAACTTCAGAGGGTGACGACAGTGACAAGATGAACATCCGGTCTGGGCATTACCCGAGAATGGAATAACTTCAGAGGGTGACGACATTGACAAGATGAACATCCGGTCTAGGGGATTACCCGAGAATGGAATAACTTCAGAGGGTGACGACATTGACCAGATGGACATGCGGTCTAGGGGATTACCCGAGAATGGAATAACTTCAGAGGGTGACGACATTGACCAGATGGACATGCGGTCTAGGGGATTACCCGAGAATGGAATAACTTCAGAGGGTGACGACATTGACCAGATGGACATGCGGTCTAGGGGATTACCCGAGAATGGAATAACTTCAGAGGGTGACGACATTGACCAGATGGACATGCGGTCTGGGGGATTACCCGAGAATGGAATTACTTCAGAGGGTGACGACATTGACCAGATGGACATGCGGTCTGGGGGATTACCCGAGAATGGAATTACTTCAGAGGGTGACGACATTGACCAGATGGACATGCGGTCTGGGGTATTACCCGAGAATGGAATTACTTCAGAGGGTGACGACATTGACCAGATGGACATGCGATCTGGGGGATTACCCGAGAATGAAATAACTTCAGAAGCTTTAGGAAAATAATTCTGCTCATTTAGGTATCAATCTGATTAAAACACAGATCCTATTTCGTTTCGTTTTTTATATATAGTTCAAAATTTCGTTTTACTTGTTTTTTTACTACACTTGGATTTGGAAGAGTTGTTATATAACTGGCGTTCTGGATGATGTGAGGGATTAGCAAATGAAACGGTCTGTTACGGTGATTTTTTTGGCGTGAGGTGCACGGAACGGTGGGTAAACCACTAGAAACATCAACGCTGGTTGGTTAATCAAATGTCTGACGTCATAGGTCAAAAGTCGCTCGAATGACCTCTGACGTGACCTACCGAGTTGATTATGGTCTCGGTAAGTTAATAAATGCCTAATAAATAATTCATATAACATTTAAAGCATAAAGAAAGGCCTGTAATAGGCCGAATTGGCCCTTGAATAAGGTATGTTTAAAATTTAAAAGTGTATGCGCTTACCTGTACATAAGGTATGTTTAAAATTTAAAAATGTGTGTGCATACCTGTACCATGAGTCAGAACAAACGAACCAGTCACTGCAATAAAAGCTATCAGTATTTTCATATCCATTTCAAGTCATCTGAAATATAATTTCAGTGATTTGGACCATGACAAACTTATAAAGAATTGAAAATAATATCAACACCACATAGACACCCACAATTAACATAAAAAAAATATAGTAGGATTAAATTTCATTTATATTTGTTTAAAATAAAATACCGGTTAATCCCCTACTCGATTCCAGTTTCGCACCAGAAAGAAAAACAAATGGGACTGGACGTCCTACTCTCCTGCACCGACTGGGCTAATGAGAGAGAGAGAGAGAGAGAGAGAGAGAGGAGAGAGAGGGAAATGGGGTTTAACGTCCACTCGACACAAACTAGGTCATTTCGGGACTAACATATGGTTCAATTTTATTTCAATAATTCGCTTGCGCGTAGGGGTCTTTAGCAGTGGGAGAAAAACCGGAGGACCCGGAGAAAACCCACGAGGTTGGAAAGGCGACCCTACTCCTTGTCACGTACAACCGGGGAATCGAAACCCCGCCAGTTGACTCAATGAGAGACCGTATGATAGTATATAACAGATTCTACATATCATTATGCTAGGTTCCCACTGCCGTACGATGCTTTATGATAGGATTGTTCCTATTGCGGCCAGGATGTGGTACATTCAGAAACGTTTCGATACGATCAACGCGATTGCTATGACTGGCCTCAATGTATGATAAGACTTGAACCTGGCATAAAGATTTTAGTCTGGAGTGTAATTCCCAAACCTAGGGTATCCCACAGTCAGCAGTCATTGGGGTGTGACGATCGCAATCATAAATGATGACGCAGAAGCTAATCGGTAAGAACTAGATAATTCTGTTCACGAAAATAAGCTCGGGAATTTTCATGTCATGGGCTAATTAAGCCAGATATTCACCCACCTTGTGCACGCTAGTCATTTGGTTGTGTAATATTCATCCACCTTGTGCACGCTATTCATTGGGTGGTGTAGTATTCACCCACCTTGTGCACGCTAGTCATTGGGTGGTGTAATATTCATCCATCTTGTGCACGCTAGTCATTGGGTGGTTTAATATTCACCCATCTTGTGCACGCTAATCATTGGGTGGTGTAATATTCATCCACCTTGTGCATGCTAGTCATTTAGTGGTGTAATATTCACCCATCTTGTGCGCGCTAGTCATTGGGTGGTGTAATATTCATCCATCTTGTCCATGTTTGTCATTGGGTGGTGTAATATTCATCCATCTTGTGCGCGCTAGTCATTGGGTGGTGTAATATTCACCACCTTGTACACGTTAGTCATTGGGTGGTGTAATATTCACCCACCTTGTTCACGCTAGTCATTGGGTGGTGTAATATTCACCCATCTTGTGCGCGCTAGTCATTGGGTGGTGTAATATTCATCCACCTTGTGCACGCTGGTCAGTAGATGGTGTAATATTCACCCACCTTGTGAACGCTAGTCAGTAGATGGTGTAATATTCATCCATCTTATGTGATGTTTCCTATTTGAATTACCTTTACACAAGAGTATTAGTATCAAGAGTTAAATAACGAAAAGTCATATCACGACATTGGAAATGTAATATGTATGGATCTGAAAGGAGTAAAATAAAATAAAACTAAATAAATAAATAAACAAAATAAATGTTGACAGACATGTTATTAAACTCGACTATATATGTAACACCATTTGTCATTAATAGTATATTTGGTCATGTGGCGAGGAAGAAATCACATATTTACTAACAAACGTTAGTAACACTTGAAACGACAGTCCCAACATATAGTAGAGGGATAGAACTACACAACCTCCGTAAAGGCGCCCTGATCTTACCTTTCGTTATTTATATAATAGTAAATACAGTGCATCTGTTTAAAGTTGCAACTTCATATTTTTAAGTTCTATTTTTAAAATGTATTAAAATAAAGCCTTAAAATAGATCGTATCTATAAACAGTCCTACCTTGTTAAAGAATAATCCTATTAATCCTATAATTCACTATTGCCAGTTGAGAAATTGACAAAGATATCATTTTGAACTTAAAATTCAAACGTTTGAAGATAGGTTTTCCATCGGGGGAATAGGAAAACAAGGGAGGTAATTTTGTTATTATTTCCGGTGTCAATGAATTTTAACTGTGGGAAATAATGTCTATGATCGTATAATAGTGAGTTGACAACCTATTGAGCAAAAGACATAGAAATAATTATGTTTTGACTTTCTTAGAAAATATGAAATTGTAACTTTAATGGGGGTGGGGTCTAGTAGTTTAACGCAGGTCTGTCATTGAGTCAAGGAGTAGGGTAGCTGTACCAACCTCGTACCATGAGGGACCTCCGGATCCTCCGGTTGCATCTCTCTCTCACCCTCTCTCTCTCTCTCTTTCTCTCTCTCTCTCTCTACTTACCAGGGGCCTGTTTCACGAAATTTTAACAAAGATAAAATCCAAATTTTAGTAATTTGATTGGATAATATTACATTGATTTTAGTGCTTAGCCAATCAAAATTGTAGTATCTACTAAAATTTGGATTTTATCTTAAGTTAAAATTTCGTGAAACAGGCCCCTGTATCACAATAACAATATGGCACCCGTGGGACTATTGCAGTAAAATGACTGAGATAAGAATAAAAAACATTTGTTCCATTCGGCTGAGTCATAGCTTACTTATCAGTCAGTAGTATATCACCTAAAAAAACCTACTTATCTTACATAGTTATATAAGCCAAGCACAGACTTATCGCTTCAATACATTAGATGAATAACACAATAAGATTGAACAACATCAACACGTTTACGTATAAACAACTTAAAGAGGCACACTTAAATCAGTAGGGGTTGTGTGTGGTGGGGGAGTGTGCGGAGGGAGGGGGAGAGCATATGTATAGATTAAACAGGGGGGGGGGGGTGACTTCCACTCCACACAAACTAGGTCATTTCGGGATTAACATATGGTTCAAGTTTTTATTTCGGGTCTTTAGCAGTGGGAGGAAACTGGTGGACCCCGAGGAAACCCCCGATTTTGGACAGGCGATCCTACTCCTTGTCACGTACAAGCGAGGAACGTAAACCACGCCAGTTGACTTAATGACAGACCTAATGATACAGCGCGCACGCGCTAACCATTCGCCCCCCCCCCACCACGCCCGATATTACACAGCGGATAAAAACAAAGCTTATATGTTAAAGTAACTTTAATATCGATTGAAAATTATATTGCTACACCATGTATGGTATGTATGGTGACAATAAAACACAATCAGCCAAATAGATTGAAATACTTCTAGATTCATGAGTCTATAAGATAATATATATGTTAATGCAACCATGGTGGCCCAGTGAATAAGGCGCTTGTTCAATAGGATGGGTGGGAGTGGGGTGGATGACCGAATGGTTAACGTTGCATCATCGGGATTCGATTCCCTGTGTATAAGGTCGCCTGTCTAACCTCCTCGTGGGTTTAATCCAGTTACTACTGTTTCCCATTACTGCACGCAAGCGACTTATTGTGATAAAATTAAACCATAGGTTGGTCCCGAAATGACCTAAGAGGTCCGGGGTTCGATCCTATTACTAGCCGAGACGGTTCCGGAAGATTGTCCAAGAGTCACTGGAGCAGCACGGGGGGGGGGGGGCTGACCGTGTCTAGTCGTTCAGTTGTAGCACGGAACAGAACCCATGACAGTGCAATTGAATTGATGTCAGACCAGACCCCCCCCCCCCTCGAACCCCCCGTGGAACACAGCATGGCGTATGTCCGTTTTCGTTAAATGTGAAGCAAACATATCATATCTAGATAAGAATATGACGTCACCATTTGACATGATTTGTGGAATATTCCTATTTTCGTTCTTCGAGTCCCTTGTTACAAATGGCGCTAAAACGCATTACGGTACCAGTGATAATATGTTTATTTTATCTTAATTATTGGACATCAGAAGCACTTCTTTTCTGGGTAAGATCACAACATCAATGTTCATTTAAATTGTCAAATAATTCGTGTTTTCAATATGGATGATACTGAGTTAAGGAATTAGCTACCTTAAACCCCATTTTATTTAATTTTATTTCACCTTCGTTGATCAATAATTCGATTGTGACGTACAAGTTTTTCTAATTCGGCTACATCTCAATTGATCGTATCTACCGACTTTTCAACATAATATGCAAGACAGAGAGAGAGAGGTAAATAGGGTTTAATGTCCACTTGACACAAACTAGGTAATTTCGGGACTAACACATGGTTCAATTTTATTTCAATCATTCGCTTGCGGGCAGGGGTCTTTAGCAGTGGGAGGAACCGGAGGACCCGGAGAAAACCCACGAGGCTGGACAGGCGACCCTGCTCCTTGTCACGTACAACTGGGGAATCGAAACCACGCCAGTTGACTCAATGACAGACTTTATGATACAGCGTTCACACGCTAACCATTCAGCCATCCAACCCCGCAATATGCAAGACCATAAACACGTTGATTTCTCACGGAGGCAGTTTTGTTTTCATAGGTCAAGGGTCAGATGCAGTAAAATACTTCTAAAACATACGAATCAAAATAGTTCGTTAAGATATAAAATAGAAGGTTATAAAATGTCTCATTCTACTAGATACTTATTTTTTTTTTTTTTTTTTTTTTTTTTTTTTAACTGTCAAATTTAGCTAGTATCATATTACATAAATTCCTTCTAGAACTGGTGGGAGGGGGGTGCGAATGGCTAGCATGTGCGCGCTGTATCATAAGGTCTGTCATTGAGTTAACTGACGTTGTTTCGATTCCCCAGTGGTACGTGACAAGGAGTGGGGTCGCTTGTGCGCTTTATAAAGACAATATTACATTTACATAATAAATAGAGCATCTCCTTCCAGTCTTTTTTGAGTTTTTTTTACTTTATCAACGAGTGTTGATATTTTTTGATATCAAAAAAGACGAGTAGGAGATTTTATTTATCACCCAATCCCTTCTTACATGCACAAATAGATAAATATAATTCTTTGCTGTAGATTTCACTTTTACTGAACATTACGGCGTAGTGATACATCATTTTTTGACAGCAATTC